CCTTGGACAGAAACAAGCAAATATGCTCTACAATGAGATACAGGCTCAGTAATTCCCAAGATTCAGTCTAGGCAAACACACAGAACTCAAGAAGCCAGCCAAACCCAGATCAAAACAACCAACAAAATCAACCCTGAATAAGATCAAACAACAAAATCAAGCTAAAGCAACGAAAGCCAAGAACAACTCTTAGACTCGAAACTAGAATTGTCTTTTCCCGATCCCTCATGATACGAGAAAGTTCAATTGTACTAAACTAATCAAGACCGAACCTTTTCCACTAGCACTTGTAAACCCATCAGTCACAATCACATAGCTAGCCCCAGCATTATATACCACATCACGCACACTTTTCTTCTTGCCCCCTCGCTAGCTCATGCCTAAAATGTATCAGAGAAGGTCTTGCCCACACGAAAAACATTAGTGTCACACAGCAACTTGTCGTCCCGCCGGCACAGCAAGACAATCGGAATTCAGAAAGAAACACCAGACAGATTCTCTCTGCCCATAAGACAGAATTCCAAACAACCCCAGATGTTCCCAATACGCAGTGAAATTTGAGCAGCTTGCGCTCGGTGCAAGGGGGACAAAACCGCGACCCTTTAGGCACAGACACGAGGACCGGCCGGAGGCAGAACAGGTGCAGAGAAGTAACTCGTCGCGAGAATCTCCCGACCCACGGTCCTCGCAACGCACGTCGCCGTAGCAGCTGTCGCCACCGGGATGACGGCCACTGTTATCCGTGTCGTGGTCCTCGAACAGGGATCGAGAGAGCGGCTTCGGCGCTCAGATCCTGCGACCCAGCAGCGTCTTGGTCTTCGTCGTCGAAGGAGAGAGAGAGGCGGCCGTGCAATACAGTGTACTATTTATATCTAGTAGTATGTGTCTAGCTAGGGCTTTTTTAAGTGACGGGCTGGGCTGTCAAAAAAAGCCCGGCCCTGACCGGCCCGACCCTAAACAGGGACGATATTCTAAAATTAAATGTCTTACCCGAACCAAAGGAGACCCGACCTGAAGAAGCCCTAAATTTCCGGGTCGGTCCGCGCCGGGTCGGGCCGGCCCGGGCTTTTTTGACAGCCCTACTTGAAATAATAAGTTAATGAAAAATATTTTCATTATTGATAATAATTTATGTTTAAATATTTTCGTGAAAAATGAAAATATTTTCCGTTAAGTCTTTTTCGCAAGCGATATAAACGATCATTTTTTGAAAAATAATTTTCAGATGATTCATTTTTCGCAAATCAAACGCACCCTTACCTCATAAATTCTGCGTCAAATTGCCTTGTCGAATCTGACACCCATGTAACGCCAATCAACCCCTCGACCTCCGAGTGGGTGAACAAGGTGACTTTGGGCTTACACCAGTCACTTACGCTCCAATTCGTGCGACTTTGATTTGGATGCCGACATTATTATGGTCCAGACTTGGATCGACTATCGATTTGAAGATAAATTAAAAAAATACCTACTTGGGTTTCGATTTTTTATTGACACGATAGTTAGGAAAATAGTAAAACAACACTACTCCGATGCTAAATTATGTTGTTGTACTAAAACGGCTCGACTCCGCCTTTTCATCATCGTAAAAGAGTCGTATTTTATCAGAACTCTTTGGCTCCAAAAAAAACTTGGCGTGTTGGATCGCCATAAAAATTATTGAGAATCCAGGTTAATAAAAAGTAGCATGATAATAATCCACGACATAAACAAAAAGGAACATGCTATGTTGCACCAGAATATCCAAAGGCATGGAATCAAATAAAAAAGGCAAATACCAAAAAAAAATTTCAACTATGCCCACTGTGACACAAATACCCCAAACTTTTTTTTATATCACCAAAAAAACTAAATTTGCCTAATGTGACACAAATACCGTCAACTTTTTTTTTGTGTCATAAAAAGATCCAAACTTATTCATATATGACATATATATTCTCTATTTCACAGTTGCACAAGTTCGGGGTATTTTATGACACAAAAAAGTTTGGGGTATAGGGTTTTTAGTGACACAAAAAAATTCGGGTATTTGTGTCATTGTAGGCATACTTTGGGTTATTTTGTGAAAGGGAAAAATTACCAATTCAGTCCTAAATTTTTTAATTTTGTTAATGCAATTCTAAATCTGTGGACGAAACTTCAATGTAGCCCTTCTGGTCAATTGCTACTAGAAATTATGGCGTGGTGATCTCAAAGTTTCCATGTTAGCATGCCGCATAATATTAGATGGCCCAAAAAGTTTCTTTATGGCCATAGTGGATGTACTGGGTTGGAATTAGGTCGAAAGGTCCTCGCCTAGCAGGGTATGCGCGGAGGTAAATGTAATGCAGAGTGACATATGGCCGACTTTGTCGGCAGCAGAAACATGATGGTGAAGACGAAAAGAGTAAGGAGAGAATGCGTGAAGCTCTCACCATTCTTAGGCCTATTTGCCGTGGAACAGAGTTGATCACAAACCCCGATTTTCCATTTACTTCTTCACTAAGGAACTGTGTTTTTGCTGAGGACTTCTGTTAATCATTTCTGTTGATTGTGTTGAAACACAGAAACACCAGAAAACAAGTCTTGTACAACTACTGTCCACCCTAGATGAAACAAGTTCTTTCTCCATCCTACGACCTGTTCTCATTCGTTGAGAACTCTACGGACTCGGTCTTTGAAGGAAAAATAACAGCGTGCTTAATGTAAGCCCGAGCGTCATATCCGTTTGAAAAACATCTAGCAAACATAAATATGCTATTAGCTTGCCTGATTACGTGATGATTGCTCAAAGCCAACTTCCTCTTAAGCATTCCAGAACGAAACCCATCTTGAAGCATGGAACTCAAATGCTATACTGTGTCTACTTTGTATGGATTTGCTGCTTTCTCGTTTGGTATTCGTGACCAAAATGTTCATGGTTTGGTCTATGATGACATCGTATTTTTCAGTAAGCATTCTGAAGATTGAGACTACCTCTGTGGCCCAAAACTTTCTGATTCAAATTAAGCAAGGAGCTATGGCTGTTGTGCTCGATAAATTAACTGGGATGGGACGTAGGCGCAATGACGGTCCTAATGCAATGCACCTTTGTTTGTCCAGTTGCATCTAATGAATTCTTGTTGATGGTTGATCTGGTATCATTCCCAAGAAGCAGCAAACCGGAGAGAGAAAGAGGAAGAGGATGGAGAATGAACCTATCAGTGTGACGAAGCTGGAGAAATAGAGACCCTGGAAGAGTGTGCCGAAGCAAATGGGTGTCTGCCATGCACAATTTATTTGTTCAATTTCATCTGTGCTTCTTGAAAGGTTTCCGAGTATTCCTGATTTCAGGTGCGAAGGCAAGCCTTGGACTTCAAATGAACAGAGTCAAGAACCCTAATGGATCGAAACGGTTCTTCTCCGAGACATTTTCACTTGTTAAATGTGACTTTTCCTATTATGAGGACTTTCTGATTTTCACCATCATCCTGTTTCAAGCAACCGTCTTTTTCCCTCTTGGTTAGATACAGGTTTCAGTTCGACATGGACTTGCAAATGACTAGCATGTAAGCTTACGACCACTCCACTCTTTGAAGTCATTGGAACCAAAATAGTTTGGATCCTGATGGACGACCAGCAATACCCAGAACCTAACCAGCTAGCTTGTGAATTTGAGACTCCAGTGGGGATCCTAGTGAGAAATATCTTAGCCACTTAAGGCCGTCACTTCACATTCTGCCACAGTTTCAGCAATGTAATAAGCCCCACTTCATATGCTTCATCCTGCATTGTGCATGTACAATAACAATCCTATGTCTTACAGATGCCCCCGAAAAGATTTCTGTGTCGGCCGAGAGGCGTGTTTTTATTCTCCAACCAGAACAAGAAGCTCCATTCTCATACCAAAAAAAGCACCTGGACCGTTCATCTCTGGAGGTCAGGACCTCATTGAATGTTCAACCCACTAAATGCATGAGGGACAACTTTCCTTTAATATGTAGGGTCATGAGTGAATTCATGAACTTGCAAAAACCATTTACAGGAAAATCAAAGTGAATGGCAAGGCAATACAAGCTTCTACGCGAAGATTACTCAGTCCTTGCATATGATTGTTGACAAACGAACTACAGTGAATACCGCTATAAGTATTAGAAATTTAGAGCATGACAGAACTAGCGAAAGGACCCCTATAGCAATGAGAAGACAACATAATATAGAGCTAGGCAGTCCAGTTGGGTTTAGCAACAGCTTGCCAAGTTTCCTTGAGAGTTGTTTTGCATATTATACTTATGCACAACCCAATTTGAATCATAGGATGCTGCAAGCAGCAAACCAAGTAAATAGCATTCGGTCATTCCAACTGAAATTCTTGCATTTCTAAAGAAATTCACACTCTCTATGCAGAAAAAAGTAAACAGAGAAAAAAAGAGAGCAAAAAAAGACAAAATTACATGCATAAAACTCAATAAATTGAGACAAATAAAAAAAAATAACTACTAAAGTGACCCCTGCCAATCATGTGACGGCAAGGAAGAGAAAACAGAACCAGTTGCATAGATGATGGAACAAGCTAATACGAAAATGGTCACATAGTTTGGGATAAAATTCAACATATAAAGATCACAAATACGAGGAGTAAACTGTAAAGAGTATTGTCTTTCCAAATAAGAGATCTCTCTTTCTTTGTTGAATAACTCGTACTTTGTTCTGAAGATGCTTTAAGTTCAAGCTCTTAAGAAACATAGCTTGACGTCATTCGTGCACACTGATGCAAATTTCAATGGCTCTGACATCAATAAATATATTTCTGAAGAGCTTGAGCTTGAAGCATCTTTGTAATGATTTGAAGTACAAGTTGTTCAACAAAGAAAGAGAGATCCTGTAGTTGTAAAGACACTACTCTTCGTGCCCTTTTTTTTTGTGCTTGGAGACGCTACTCTTCTTTTGACTGGTATGAGTCCGTCTTTTTCTTTTGTGCTTGGAGACACTGCCCTGCATTTGACTGTTCTTGAGACTGCTCAGCGATGTCATTATCAAACTCAAGGATTTGGAGAGTCATTATCAAACTCAAGGATGTGGAGACGATGCACCATATCTCTAGGGAGCAGCTGAGAAATTTTTGTGCCTGTTAATCTCAAGAATCTCAAAGAAAACAATCCTGTAATGTCGCAACGTCCACTCAGACTTCCGCAGTTGGTGAAATCCAACTCTTTGAGCTCCTTAAGATGTTTTATGGCTTCAGGAAATTCTTCAAGGAAAGTACGAGCCATCTTTAGCACTTGAAGGTTTTTGCAATCCTTGACACAAGAAGGCAATGCTTGAATTGAGGTGTGTGACAGGTCCATTTTCTCTAGCTGAACAAACTCTCCAAAGACATGTGGAAGTGTGTTTAGCTTATTGCAACCGCTTAAAGCAAGCTTCCGAAGATTCTTTAACAATCCAATAGACTGAGTGACTTCATGCAATTTTTTACAATTGCAAGCACTGAGAATTTCGAGTGACGGTAGAGAGTCTTTCTCGAAATAAAGTCTTTCAATTTTTGTTCCATCAATGAGAAGCTCTTTCAATGCTGTCATGGAACACAGCGCTCGCGGCAAATGTTTAACCCATTTGCAATGCTTCATGCTTAAGGAAACTAAATTCTTAAAGTTAGAAGTGGTTTCATCTGGCTCTATATGTAAACATCCTTCCAGGATCAAGCATTTTAAAAGACTTGAGGCAGGGATATCCAGAGATGCATTGATCCAAGTACAATCTTTTAGCTTCAAGACTTCCAAACTCCGAGCCTTCTGCAAAAACAACATAAACAATATGATCATATGTTTATTTACTACTTCAACTATAACTCAAAGGATAAAGTGCAGGGCACATCTATACGTAAAAAAAAGTGCACAAGCACAAATAAGCCTCACCTCCATCAATTGTTCCCAGTCTCCCAAACTCAATTGGACTGACCTTGAACATAAGTTGAGAATTACCAGGTTCTCCATGTCAAATGCAAACAACTTAGATTTCTCACGGCATCCATGCCAATCGAGCCATTCTAGGTTCGGAAGAAGTTTCTCAGGATTTCCTTTAATATCAACGTTGTCCAACTCAAGAAACTTCAGATTCGATAGATGATGAAATACTTCACCATCAACTTTTTTAAAATCGGAGGCTACACGAAGAGCTTTAGCCTCATAGGGACCCTGCCAATTCGTTAATAAAATGGAAGTGTGAAATTCAAACAAAGATGTATGCGACAATAATCATTGTATCTAGAGGAAAATTTGACAAGAATACTGGAGAAATTTCAGTGTTTTTACCTTTTTTTCCCGCAATATTGTTTGGACATCTCTGTAATCCCACAGCCTGCTGCGCTTCCCAGGATTATCGTGATTTTCCTCTTTGATAATTTCTCTTCCCAGGAATTTTAGTTGGCCTTGCATCCAAAACTCCTTTTTTTCCTCAATTTTTAGAAAAGACTTTTTTTTAAGCTCATCAACACCTCTATCTAGGCGACGTGCAGCCCACATGTAACAGGGGATTGTCTTTTCAACTCCCGTAAAGAAACATGCTATATCAAGGAATACTTGTTTTGCCTCATAGCTCAAAAGCTCATAGTTTGCCAACAACATTTTTTTCACTTTGTCTTTTAGCTTTACCTTTAAGTCACCCAAAGTCCGTTCCCATTCTTTTTGGTCCTCCCCATACAAAGACCTTCCCACAAAATCAATAGCAAATGGAAGATTTTCTACAGCAGAAATGATTTCTTTTGAAATTTCTTCGTTGTCCTTTAGGGGATGATTCAGTCCGAAAGCACACTTACGGAAAAGTTCAAGAGCATGATTTTCATCCATAAGTTTTACCTCATGTTCTTGCTCATGCAAAATATCTTGTTCCTCCCTTTTCCGAACCTTGTAAACGTCTTTTCTTTTGGTTGTGAGGATGATCGTGCTTCCCAGACCAAACCAAATTAGCTCTTCAGCCAATGGTTTGATTTGTTCAAAGTCGTCCACATCATCTAATACTATGAGAACTTTCTTTTCTCGAAATAGGTGTGTTATCATTTTGGTACCTTCAGTGGAGGATCCCACCTCCTGACATGCTCCTCTCTTGAGGTCACGAATCAACTTCTCCTGCAAAGATACCTCTCTTTTCTGTTCAAACCCGTCCTGAACATTTTCAAGAAAACTACAACCTTCAAAGAGGTGACGGATTTTGTTGAATACCACCTTAGTGAGAGTGGTTTTGCCAACCCCTGGCAGACCCCACACTGTAAACAGCCATCTCCCTGTCATCTCCCGCTCTTTGACGACTTGTCCATCCTGATAATCGAAACCAAGCTTCCGCATCATCTCTGGCACGTCTCTCTCTATTCCAACTAAAGTTTTAGCGACGCCTTGCTCATCCATCCTCAAGAGTTTCCAAAGTTCGGAAATGAAACCCTCTAGCTCTCGAAACCTATAAAATGAGAAACGGAGTTTCCCTTTTTATATTGTTCTTTTTTTAATTATAGATAAGGGGCGGAAGAGGTGACCAGCAGTAGCAGTTCCCTTTTGACCTTATAAAAAGGTCCTAGTTATGGAATGGTTTGATTTCAACGAAGGTACAGAGGGCACCGGTGACATCAATCAACCAAGAAAAAAAAACTGCAGACAGAAGACAATACGATATACACACATGCATTGCGATTAAAAAGGGAAGAAGAAATTGGAATCGCCAGAAGTTAATTGGATCCCTGTCGCGACCGCCCAATCCCAGAAAAAGCGTGGTGAGCATATTAATATACAAGCCAGTTCTCCTGTCTTTTCTTTTTGCAAACTAAACAAGTAAAGCAAGATCAATTGAGCGATCACACTTACCCGCTGAAGAGATCGTCGTAAAACCGTCCCTTTATAGCACCAAAAGCAGCCTCCAGAGCAGCTTTCTTGAATTCCGGTCCCTTTATACCACCAATCTCTCCCAGAGAAGCCTCCAGAGCAGCCTCCAGGGCAGCCTCCAAAGCAGCCTTCTTGAATTCCAGTCCCTTTTTTTTAGCAATCTCTTTCAGAGCATCCTCCCACTTTTTGATGATCGACTCGGGATATCTGTTTTTTTCCTTGTGCTCGGCGAAGGACTTTCCATATGTTCCCAGCTGGTGGCGAACAACGTTGGGCTCGACGAAGAAGAAAATGGGATGAATTTCTTTACCCGACTCCACCATTTGGGCCACTTCCATCAGGCAAGCTGCGCTGGAAGCGAAGTTATGGGAGAAGACTGGGATGCAGATGTTGGAACGCTTGATGGCTTCCACGATCCTGGTATCGATACTTTCACCGTAGTGGATCTCTTTACGATCTTTGAATACCACAATCCCCAAGCGTCTGAGCTTGTCGTAGAGGAACTCGACCAAGTTATCGCGTGTATCTGGTCCTCTGAAGCTGAGGAACACTCCATAGTTACAACCGGCCATTGGAACACGGACTCTAGCTCGAACGGAGATGAAGATGATCAAACTTGATTGAAGTCGTTGAAGTAAAACAAATCTGAGTCTGGATCGTTGACCTCATTACCCATCTTAGTCTTAGTCTTAGTCTTGCCCCGAGTGAAGACTTGTCTATTTCTCTCTCTTCTTTTCCTTTTATTTTATTCGTTTTTTATGGTTTGGCAGTTCTATCCTTTCAATAGACTTGTTAAATAGGTGGTTTGGGTTGAATTTAGGTCGGGTCATAAATAGTCCGATCCAAATTGATCTATTAATCCATTTATGATCAATTTATTCGTAATGCAAATTTCTTGACCCATACCCGATTCGATCCACACCCAAATCATATCCGACCTGACCCATATTGCTAAAATACTTCATATTTAACAAAATCTAAGAAAACTTGTTTTTTAGAATTTTTTAAAAAATTATATTGCTAAAACACTTCAATGCATTACAAATTTAGTGAACAATTTATATATATATATATATTTAAATTGAAGCTTCGTTTATTTCGCAAAAAATGTGACATTTCTAAAAGATGTGACATTTCTAGTGTTTTGCCGAAACTTGAAAATGAACTAGCAAATATTTTCTGCCGTTTGGTATGGAAAATCTGATTTGATTTTCCTTCGTATACTCATTTTAATAATTTTTTTTATACATAATTTTTATTTTTTTAAAAAAATCAAATTTTAATTTTTCTTTCTTTTTCTTTTCCTTCTTCTTCGGCTTGTGGCCAGCCATGGTGATAGTCAGCGATCGGCCACAGACGAGGGACGAGCTCACTAGCCTCGGGCGAGGCTTGAGCTCGCCGGTCGCCGGCCGTCGCCATGGCCGGCCACCGGCCGAGGAAGAAGGAAAAAGAAAAAAAAGAAAATAAAAAAGAAAAATAAAACTAAAATAAAAATTATAAAAAAATTGAGAATATTTAAAAAAAATAGAAAATTTTAAAAAATTCACTTAAGCTTATTAGGTATTAGGTTTTTAGGTAACCCATTTATGACCTACTTAAGCATGTTTTTTAAATTTAAGGCAACCCATTTATGATCACACCATTAAATTTGAGTTAAAATATGAGTTCAATAATGGGATCAGGATCTCTCGATGGGAAATTATTACACAGGGTATAGCATTTAGGAAAATTATTATATCATTTTAGTATACATGTTAAATAGAATTTGAATGATGGTTCCAATATGAGTTTTACATAACAGTAAAAATTCAATTTAATATATGAATGCTAAATTCATTACATAATAACAATAAGTCGGACAACAAGCAGCCTGGTACCCAGTGATGTGGATCACTTAGAGAGGGGTGAATAGGTGATTCTATTAAATCTTGACAAATTTAAAGCGGAATTGAAAAGGTCAAGAACTGAGTCTGAACTTAGAGTGCAAAGTTCGGATTCTGAATAAAATTCAGAAGTAATTTAGCAAGTGTGCAACAAAATATAATAATACGCTGAAGGAGTTTTAGAGATAAGAGAATTTGCACACAAGACTTATATGGTTCGACTTAGATCAAACCTACATTTACTCTCCCACAACGATAGTTTACTGGCTGGATTCCACTAGATGATCAACAAGAGATTACAATAATGAGTGATAACACTCAGTGTATGATGTCTCACTATCTCAGTTAATCACTCTTTCAGTACTTCTCTTTAGATCACAAAATGTACCCCACGAAAGACAAGTATAGGATTGAAGTTTGCTCAAACTTTGAAATTCTCGATTCTGGAATTTGTCTATTGCTTATGCTCCTCAGCACCTTTGTCTCATCTTATACTCCTCTACTTCCAATCTAGCCGTTGGACAGTGTTTAGAGAATTGTCTTTCAATCTATCCATTGGACAGGACTGTATAAAGAAGATTGAGTAGCTATTGAGGGACAAAATCTGAATCTCTATTGATTATGGTCGCCCATACAACCAAAGTCTTGATTCCATAAAGTAGAGCTTCTCCATTTGAAAAGTAACTTATCTTGAGATCAATTTGCCAATCATTTAATATATTTTGCATTATAATGTTGATTTGCAAAACAATCTTTGAGATTGAGTCAATCAAATCTTTCTAAATGTGAAATCTAAGCCAGATCACTAGTTGTTATGTACGTTCTAAACTTGTGTTACGTTCTGAACTTATGTCAGGATGAGAATGAGTCTAAAGTTCTTCATCTCCAGTATAAAGTCTGAAGATATCCAACTCCAGTTTCTATCTTCTGGTTCTTCCAAGTATATTGGCAATCGTGGCTCTACCTCATTATTCACTTATTTATGGTACTTCCAAGCTTTACCGAACTTCTCGTTCTAAGCTTGTTCACCTTCTACTTAGATACCTCTAGCTTTTGGACACCTCTACGCCCAATGTCTTGTTCAACATTGATTGAGAACTTGTTCCTTTCGAGACATCATCTGCATAACGGTTTCTGCATCTTTCACCTGGTTACTCAACCATTAAATATATTAGTAGCCTTTGATTACTTTGTCATATTCAAAACACCATAAGGGATTTCCCTAACAACCTGCACAATTGAATTACCTACGTGGCAGCTAGCAATTCTTATTGGATATCGTACTAGTCTTTCTATGTCTACTGTCTAGATCTGATGTGTTTGAATCGAACAGCTAGATCTACACGCAATGTCGAAAATAGGCCGAAACTACCAGAAAAAAGGAGTTAATTCATCGAACATGAAAGTGTCGCGTGTGGGTTGGGTTAGTGTTTGCTTGCACGTGCTCTGTCTAGCGTTGACCTCCTCGTGAACTGCGGGGGCCGGTGGGGTTGGGTGGAAAGTCATCCGTAGTTGGCGTACTTGCCTGTCCTTAGCGAAGATCATGAAAACCAAAGACAAACTTTGTCTGAATGATCCCATTTTCCAAATTCACATGAGTAAGTGATTAATCTCATCTACGATGCATCAAGTTCGAGTCTAAGCAAGTATCATTTCACAAATTGATTGTAGTGCAACTTTTTATCTCATGCGCTGTCTCTAACACTCTTTCACAAACAGGTATTAAAATCGAGTCCTCTGGGCCACTAATTTCTACACTCTCTTTATGACATTAAAGACGAAGTTAGCTAGCAGTATCATCCAGAGGGAGGTGAATATGTTATTCTAACAAACTTGACAAATAATGTGGAATAAAAAGCGCCAAGAATGTTTAAAGTGTAATTGAGTGGAACAGAGTGTTGGTATAAGCAGATTTTGATTATATCTAATAGTGTATTGCAGTGCTTCTATGAAATGCAAGTAAGTAAAAGTAAAGAAATAGAAAACAATGCGCAAGAGTTAATAATGGTTCGGCTTATTGTAAGCCTATGTTCACTCTCCCAGTCAACAGTCTACTGGCTAGATTCCACTAATCAATCGTTGATAAGTGACCATAGTCGGCCTTGCTTATATTCAAGCACTTCTCCTCGAAACTAGTTTTGCTTATATCCAAACGGATAGGTATCTCTATCTCACACCTAAGCACAAATTATAGCTCTGCCAACACTTTTCAAAAGATTACAATGTAAAGCTCATTGAAGACAATAGAAAGATATAAAGTTCTCTTGAATTAAGAAATTATGAATTCTTGATCTCTCTTTCTTTTTGACTCCTTGGTCTTCTTTTACACTCCTCTCATCCAAGTTTCACGTTGGACAATCATCAAAATGATCAATCTCCAATCTAGCTGTTGAAAATTGTTGAGTAGATTGTGTAACTGTTAAGGTTGATCAATCAGAATCCTCATAGATTTGATTGCCCATACAATCAAATCTTGATTCCAAAAGTGATGCTTCAGCTATAGAAAGAATTTTGTCTTTGAGATGATTGTCAATCAATCAAGATATCGCGTGTGATTGAATATTTTCGCGAAGATAATTTTTAAGATTGACAGAAAATCAAAATCTCTAACTAAGGAATCCATATCATATCACTAGTGCGACATTCTCGGATTAACTCATTGAGGCGCCTTTTGATGTAACGGCAATGCTTAGCTTTAAAACTCCAAAGTTAAGCGTGCTCATGTGAGAGCACTCCTAGGAAGGTGCCCATATGCACGCCAAAGGACAAAACCATGAGGCTCGAAATGGGACTGGCTGAAGCGGATAATACCTTAGTGAGTTAATCTAGGGCGTCAGATATGGTATCAGAATGGGACCCCCTCTAGTAGGTGCATGGTTCAAGGACGAACCACGTGAAAACTGATAAGCCTGTAATGACCCGGTCCGACAAGGGCGGAGAGTAGTCACTGAAGCTCAAAAGGCTTGGCTAATAAGAAGCTCCTAGTAAGCTTTTAGGATGACGAAATGGGCAAAAATAAATAGAACTATGCACATAACAGGGGGAGAACGATTCTAGAATATATATATATATATATATATATATATATATGTGTGTGTGTGTGTGTGTGTGTGTGTGTGTGTGTGTGTGTGTGTGTGTGTGTGTGAAAATAGGAATTAACTCACAAAAGGCGCCTTTTGAAGTAACGACAATGCTTAGCTTTGGAACTTCAAAGTTAAGTGTGCTCATGTAGGAGCACTCCCAAGATGGGTAATCTCTTGGGAAGGTGCCATGTATACCAAAGGACAAAACCGTGAGGCTTGGAATGAGACGGGTCAAAGCGGACAATACCTCAACAAGTTAATCCAGGGCGTCATAATTAGCTATTAGGGGATGAGATTAAATAACTTAAAATAATAATCTTGAAGTCCATGATAAAAAATTTCATAGTAGGTTGTATTGGTGCTCCGCTTTTATTCACAATTAGCTTATATCTAGCATTCTAGTATAATGATGATATCCAGTTTATGCTCTGCATATATCCATTCAGTGTGCTATTTGTGTTTGTGCAGTACTCTGCTTCTATCCACGTAGTACTATGCTTCTATTCATGCACTATTATGCTTTTATCCATGCAGTACTCTACTTCTAGCCTTTTATTTGGAAAATCATCAATGTGGTGATTGTTGGAAAATCCCTTATATTGTTTT